ATCCTTATACTCATTCTACAATAATGGTTTTATACAATATTTATCCTTGTGGAACTGAGTTAGTTCACTCAGCATAATGCTCTCCAGTCACTCCCAAGTTAGGTAATAATTGACAAAATCACCACTCCTGTGTGCTGCATAGTATTCCACTGTTTGAATGTACCATAATTCCTTAATCCATTTGTTTGCGGTTGGACATCTGGGCTGTTTCCATGTTCTTGCGATGGTGAATAATGCTGCTATGAACATTGGTGTACAAATCTTAGTTTGTGTCTCAGTTCTAATTTCCTTGGGGTATCTTCCTAGTAGTGAAATAGCTGGGTCATACTAGTTTCTATGTTCAACTTTTTGAGGAAACACCAAATTGTCTTTCAGTGTGGCTATACCATTTTACAATCCCATCAACAATGCATAAGAGTTCCCACATCTCTACATTCTCTCCAACATTTATTGCTTGCTGCCCTGCTAAACTTTGTCACTGCTTGGAGTGGTGAGATGGTATCTCATTGTGGTTTTGATTTGTATCTCTCTTATTGCCAGTGATTTTGAGCATTTCTTCATGTGTCTGCTGGCCATCCAAATGCCTTCCTCTTTGAAAAGTCTTTCCATGTTTTTTGCCCATCCTTCCATCTTCTTTTAATGCTTCTTGGGTCATTTAACATTTTGTCCATGGCATTCTTCTATATTGCAACTAGAGTGTTGAATTTGTTTTTAAGTTCTTGAGAAAAGCTGAGTGAAGTCTTCTCTTTTTATTCTCTCCAGATTTTTGCATATTTCATTTTAATACTTTGCTTTGTTTTCTCTAGCTACCCTTTGAAATTTTCTGTTCAGCTCTTTTACTTCAGTATTTCCTCCATTTGTTTCTCAGTGATCTAATAAAAATTTCATAGTTTCCCCCCCTAACATCTATTTTGGCATTTTCTTTCTCCTTTGTCTTTGTTAATGACCTTTCGCTCTCTTGATGGATGATATTCTTGATTTCATTCCACAACTCTTTGAGTCTTTGTTTGTGATCAATGCCTCAAACCTGTTTAAGACTTTTTTGTTTTTTCATTGTTGTACATTTTCTCCCCACCCCTTCTTCCCTTAGTCCACCTTGCAATGCACCCCTTGTTCCAGATTGTTCTCATACACATAATATATAATCATATACTCCTTTCAGATGGTTCTTCCCTTCATCTGTTCTAATAGAGTGTTCATTATCTAACCACTCTTTCCTCATTCCTTCTCCAACTCCCCCATATCTATTCTACTTTATAACAGCAGTGATATACAGTATTTGTCCTTTTGTAACCAGATATTTCACTCAGCATAATGTCCTTAAGGTTCCCCTTTGCTGTGTAATGTTTTACTATCTCACTGTTTTTCATGGCTGTGTAGTATTCCATAGTGTGAATGTACTTTAGTTTTCTATTCATTTGTTTGTTGATGGGCAGTTAGGTTGCTTCCACCTCTTTGCTGGTGTGAATACTGTAGTAATAAACATGGATGTGCATACATCTGTTTTGAGCTGTGGCTCTGGTTTCTTTATTCCCAGTAGTGGACTTGGTATGTCAAATGGTATTTTAATCTCCAACTTTTTGAGAAAGCACCAGACTGCTTTCCATAGTGGCTGTACCATTTTACATTCCTACCAGCAGTGAATAAGAGTTCCAGACTCTCTACAATCTTGCCAGCATTTGTTGTTTGCTGCCCTGCTGAACTTCGCTACTGTTGCTCGGGTGAGAGAATATTTCAGAGTTGTTTTGATGTGCATCTCTGATAGCTAGGGATTTTGAATTAGTTCTTCATGTGTTTATTTGCCATCTGAATGTCTTCTCTGGTAAAGTGTCTATTTATATCCTATGTCCATTTTGTAATTGGTTTGCTTACCTTTTTCTTGTTGAGGTGCCTGGGTATGCTATACATTTTAGATATACATCTCTAGACAGATAAGTCACTGTCAAACATTTTTCCCAGTATATGATTTCCTTCTTAACCTAATGGAGAACTGTTCTGATGTGCATAGGGATTTGAATCTTTGAAGGTCCTATTCATTTATTTTATTCTCTTCCTGATTGTAGGTATAAGATAATTTTTTAATTCAGATGGAATAGACTCAAAGTCATATTTTGCTTGTTGATTGGTTTTAATCACCTTCAGCTTTCATTTGAACTTGCACATGAGTAACTGATGATCTGTTCCACAGTCAGCACCTACTATGGTTCAGACTCCTGCACTGAGCTTCTCTAATGATTCTTTCTGCAGATGTAGTCAATCCGATTCCTGTGTTGACTGACCGTTATGCGAGATTCATATGCAAAGTCACTGTTTGTATTTCTTAAAAGAAGTATTTGTTATTAATAAATCATTAACCTTTTGCTTGTTTGTTTATATTATGGGTTCCTTTTGATTCTAACAATTTGAAATTGTCACTCTTTCCTGATAAAGTAATATTTACAATTTGAGGATTGTTTTCTCTCTAATTCTTTTAATTACAGACAAGTAGTTTTTGTTCAAATCTTCAAACAAACCATACTTTTCTCCTTCATGGCTCTGAAAAAGCTAACTGTTGTTTGTATTTTCTGAGTACTTCTTTCTTCACTCCCATTCTCTCTGAGAAAGTGGTATTTAAGCCTCCGCTTTTGCTGACATGAAGGATTAAGCAGAAATTAGAACAAAGAACAAGGACAAAAGAGGACAGATAGCATGGTTAAAAAAGAGTTAGGTATAGTCCAAACATCTTTTTTTTTTTAAAAATTAGTTTTAATGAACGTTTACAGAGATTTTAGATTTCCATACATTCATTGTTGCATCTTTCTCCCTGCCCATCCCTCCCCTCAGTTCACACTTCTCTTTGAAAAGTAAAAGAAAAATTATTTCATTGATATAGAATCCCCATCCCCTGCCCCGAGTACACTCCACCATGCAACCTCTACTCTGGACTCTTGTCATAACCATAATACCCAATCATTTATCACTTTCAAATAGTTCTCTCCCTCATCTGTTTCAATGCAGTATATATAATTTATCCAATCTTTTTCAGTCTCACCCCAACCCTGATGTCAGTCCCGTTAGCAGAGTACAGAGAAGGAAAGTGGTGTAAATAAGGTGAAAAGCTAAGATCAGATCATCCTAAGGCTTGCAAGTCATATTAATTAATGAATATAACTGAATTTCTAGGTCAATTAAAAATTCAAGCTTCAGTATTTATGAGTAGTGTAACTTTCATTAATTAATACCAATAACATTATTTTTAAAGAGCTGGAATTAAATGAGAATACATCTTTTAAATGCCTAGTATTATATTAGTATAAGGAGCTCGTGTGGCCTGGTGGGTAAAGAATTGCACTGCCAACCTACAGACAAGAAGTTTAAATCCACCTTCTGCTCCTCCAAAAAAAGATAAGTAATCTTCCTCTGATGCAATTTACAGGTGATGAAAGCCTTCCAGAGGGTGAGCTGTAAATTGGTTCTGAGTCGAAGGCAATGAGTGTGAGGGGATTTTTAATTGCAATGCCTGGACATATTACCAACTGAAAACCAATCCTACTAAGAACTATCCCATAAGTTCTCTGGAGCGATAAATCTTTACACAAGCAGAATGTCTTTGGAGAGGCTGGTGGATCAGAATCTTTAAGTTGGCAGTCCAATTCTTAATCTGAAGGCACTTATTATTAAATGGTAGCTCTACATACAAGAAATTTATGAAATCAATGAAGAGTGTAAACAGAAACTCTTATTTTTAAAAAAGTAATACTGGACCTTTTCAATTACTATGAACAATAATTAGCCAATTCAAATAACTCAAATAACTGCAAAAGACATATTTTTATTTATCTATGATATGGAAATTCAGTTTATTATCTAAAATAAACTGGGAAATTACACTCAGATATTTACTTCAACTCTTTGCATGTTACACTTATGGCTGGGGTTTGATAAATTTTGAACAAACAAACTACTAAAGGGTATTTCTTGATTGGATTGTGAACAATTTCAGATTGCTCAGGTCTACAATTAACACTCTTGGAGTCAGCAGGCAGAAAATCAAAAGATGATTTGGATTAGGAAAGTCTGCTGTCAGGGATCTTGCCAGAGTGCTGAAGTGCAAAGAAGTCAGTCTAGAGGCTAAGGTATGCCTGATCTGGGCCATGGTCTTTACAATTACTTGCTATGTATCAGAGAGCTGGACAATGACTAAGGGTAACAAGAAGAAGAATTGATATCTTTGACTTGTGGTGCTGGAGAAAAGTACTGAAAATACTATGGAATGCCAAGAGAACAAACAGGTCTGTCCTGGAAAGGGTAAAGCCATATTGCTCTCTAGAGGCAAGGATTTTGCAGCTCCGTCTCACATACTTGAGCCTGTTCCCAGGAGGGACCAGTCCCTGAAGGAGGAGATTATGCTTGGAAGAGTGGAAGCGGACTGCAGGAGAGGAAGTCCTTGGAGGAGATGGATTGACACAGTGACTAGGGTAATGGGGGCAGATGTGTAGCAGATAGTGAGGCAGGCTCAGGATATACAGGGTTCAGAGCTGTGTACACAGGGTATGAGTTGCAGGTGACTTGACAGCACAACAAAAACAAGGTTTATGGTATGATTCTCCACATTAGGGAGAAAAAAGCAGCTGACAAAAGTTTCTAAGTGACCATCCTTTCATTTTGACGAGGTTTCAATAAAATTGGTTCATGAGATGATAAAACTACCGTGGTTAAGATCATGAGTTTGGGGTTATGGACAGGATTCAACTGTCCTTATTATGTGACAAAGAAATAAATTAGTTTAAAGTGGCCCGGTGGTAAGAAGCTTCACTGCAATCCTAAATGCACATGGTTTGAATCCATTGTTGCTCCACAGGAGTATGGGCAATCTCCTTCTGCATGATTTAGTGCCTCTGAAAATCCCCCGGGGGGGGGTCAGTTATGAGTCAACGGTACACAACAACAACAAAGTGGGTTAAGTTGTAACATATTTTTCAGATATTAAATGATGGGGAGAGTACACAGTAAGTTCTTACCAGCTCGGATATGATTCAGTGACGCCAACATCCTCAACATGAAAGAGGCTGGAACTGTAATGGTGTTTCTAGTCTCTTCGAGCATGAGTTCATTTCGAGTTATAACCTACGAAGCAAATTAAATGATGTTAAAGATTACACTGTGATTGAACATTAGGCATATGGTTAGAAAATTAGGAAGCTTCAGAATTACTTCATTATGTAGATGTATGATATCTGTATATCTGACTCAAAGCTCTCCAATATAAAATATTTAGTTTAATTTGCATTTGAGACCAAGATCAAAAGACACTATGCTTTCAACTATAGCAGAAAGACAAAGGTCAAATTTTAGGCCACTTAAAATATTTAAGGATTCAACTTACTGTTTGTTTTTAATTTATATGAAGTTTGTAATTTCAGTTATCAGTTTTCTGTTTACTTTGTACCTCCTCAGTATTGTGCCCACAGAACTGATAACTTTGAGTGACACCCTAGTTTTAAATAATTATCCCAGGTCACTCACATTCCTTGAGAAGAGATTCTTTTTTAACTGAGGCAAAGTACTCCTAAAAAACGTTTTGAACATGATTTAGCACTTCAGTCTTAAAAACCAATGAAATGCCAAAATGGACATCTATGACCACATAGAGTTTGTGTATAAACATGGACAAAGGAAAAAAGAAAAAGGAAGAGTGAAGAATACAGTAAAGAGGGGAAAAAGAGCGAGAAGAAAGGGAGGGAAAGGGATGCTACTCTCACCATTTCCCTCTGATTTAAAAATCTTTCAACAGTTTCCCAATGACATTACAATAAACTCCCAACTCAATGGGCTCTAACACAGCAACAATTACGGATGGCACAGGACTGGCAGGCTTTCACTCTATTTCACAAAGGGCCATCATGAATTGGAATGGGCTCTAACTCAGTGGAACCTAACAAACTGTTGGTCTCTGCTCCTAAAATATTTCCTGTTGCTGGTATTAGGTGCCATCGAGTTGTGTATGACCCATAGTTACCCTATGAAGAACAGATATGAGCTCTGTCCTATCCTGTGCCATCCTCACAATCTGTGACTTGAGCCCATGGCTATAAGATGTCCCTCATATGCCCACGTACATGCTCTCCTAGCACATGCCCAAAGTATGTGAAGCAAAGTTTTGTTATCTTTGCCTCCAAGGTGCATTTTGGCTATACTTTTCCAAGACATATCTGGGTTTTTGTGGTTGTGGGTTTTTTGGTTTTTTTTTTTTTGGCAGCCCCTTAGATATTCAGTAGTCTTCTCCAATACCACAGCTCAAAGGTATCAATTCTTTTGTCATTTTTATTCAATGTCCAGCTCTCAGGTGCATACATAGCAAGTGATCTGAAAGACAGTGTGGCCTGGGTCAGGAGCACCTTAGTTCTCAAACTAGTATCATTGTTCCTCAATAATTTGAAGAAGTCCCTGACTGCAGGCTTTCCTAACACAATACATCTCCTAATCAAGGATGTTAACTATGGATGCAAGTAAGAGGAAGTTTCAATCTTTTCTCTATCTATCATGAGGCTGCTTATTGGTCCAGTGGGAGAATTTTCTTTTCTTGACATTGAGATGCAATCCATATTTAAGGCTGTAGCCTCTAATCTTCTGCAGCAAGCACTTCAAGTCCTCTTTACTTTCAACAAGGAAAGTTGTGTTATCTGCATAATGTAGGCTATTGATGAGTCTTTTTCTGATCCTGAAGCAATATTCTCTTTCAGACCTCACCTTTTTAAATACTTTATTCAGTATACAGATTGAATAGGTATGGAGAGAGGCTATAACCCTGAGGCATAGTTTACTTAATTTTAAACCATGTAATGTTTCCTTTTAGTTCGCTTGGCTACACAATCAACACTATTGGTACCATCAGCCAAGAAATCAGAAGATGAACTGCACTGGTAAGTCTGCTGTCAGAAACCTCTCCAGAGTACTAAAGAGCAATGATGTCAGTCTGGAGACCAAGGTGTGCCTGATCAAGGCCATAGTCTTTGCACTTACTTACTGTGCAACAGAAAACTGGGTAATGACTAGGGATGACAGAAAGATAATTTATGCCTTTGAGCTGTGGTGCTGGAGAAAAGTATTGAATATACCATTGACTTCCAGAACAAATATGTTCATCCTAGAGAGGGTGAAACCAGGCTGCTCCTTAGAGACAAGGATTCAGAGGCTTCATCTGATATATACTGGGTATGTTGCAAGGAGGAACCAGTCTTTGGAGAGGGCCATCATGCTTGGAAGGGTGGAAGGACAGTGTAAGAGAGGAAGATCCTTGATGAGATGGATTGATTTAATGACTGGGGTAATGAGGGTAGGTGTGTCAGACAATAAGTTTGGCACAGGATAGGGCAGGGTTCAGGGCTATTGTACATAGAGTCACTATGAGTTGCAAGTGACTCAACAGCATATAACAGCAATAAGAAGAGTTTCCTTGCTCAGTTCACATAACAGCCTCTTGGTCTACGTATAAATTTTATATGAGCACAATTAAGAGTTTTGGGATTCCCATTCTTTTCAATGTTATTCATAATTTGTTACGATGCAAAAAGTGGCATGCCTTTGCATAGTCAACAAATCCCAAATAGACATTCTTTTAGTATTCTTTGCTTTCAGCCAGGATCCATCAGACATCAGCAATGATATCACTGGTGCCACGGCCTTTTCCAAATCCAGTCTGAACATCTGTCACCTTTTTTTCTTTGTACTGTTCTAGCTGTTTTTGAATGATCTTAAGCAGTATTTTGCTTGCATGTGATAGTAATCACTACTGTTCAAAAATTTCCACACTCTGTTAGATCACCTTTCTTGGGGAGGGAACATATACAGATCTTTTCCATTCCTCCAGGCATCTGTCCTTCAAATTTCCAGACACAGACTGGTGTGCACGTACTGAGCTGCAGCTGTTAGCTGAAACTTGTCAATTGGTATACCCTCACTTCCTAGGACCTTATTTTTACCAATGCCTTTGATAAAGCTGGAATGTCTTCATTACTGTTGGTTCTTGATTTTATGGTACACTTCCAGAAATACTTTGGTGTTGGCCAATTCTTTCTGATATAGTGAGTCTGTGTACTTTCTCCATGTTCTTTTGCTGCATCCCGGCTTGTTCAAGGATTTTGCAATGACATCTTTCAGTATTGAGATTTGATGTTACTTTAGTATTATTACATATGTTTTTATTTATTAGGTGTTATCAAGTTGAGTACAACTTGTTGTCGTTGTGTTCCACAGAGTCTGAATTGACCCATTACTGACTCTCCAGTGGCTTTTCAGAGGCAGTTAATAGTGTGGGAAGAAACTGCCCATCCTACTCCCATGGAGC